AATCATTAATATCAATTTGTCACAAAAACATACATGACCTTCATAAGTCACTTCATTTCTTTAACTTGGGGAGAGAGGGGTCAGCTGAAAATCTTGTTGATCAAAACCGGACTCGACATTGTCAATGAAATGCTACCTACTCCAGAGTACGTAGGAAATTTACCCTTTCAGGTGAGGGCGGCATGGGTCAAAGAAAATAATAATCAAAGTACGCAGCTTACTAGGCGTTGGCAGGAGCCCATGACCATGGTCATGGGCTCCTGCCGTTGGTCGATTGTGCTCGTAAAACTGACATATTATGCTCCTAGCACTGCTCAAAAACTTTTGGAAATTATGCCCGAATTTTGCTGTTTCTCCAAATTATGCTCCTCGCATCAAAATTATGCTACTTGGTTTTTAAGCAAAATAAAGACAGAATAGGGCGAATAAAGAAAAAAGAAGTAATAACACCGTTGGGAACCGCCGTTTTCTACATTTCTAAGCATCCTGGCTTAATTTTATATTAAGGTGGCTCAAAACAGTAATATGTCCGTGAAACGCTTACGCTCTAGCGTGCTCTTCAGCGTGAGGCATCACGCTATCACCCGAGGGGTCGCGAGATAGCGCGCGAGATTAAAGTTCGCAAAAATCAAAACAAACCTGACGGCGCAAGGCCTGCTTAGTAAAACTTTGTTTCCACCAAGTTTAGTAAGCTGTTTGCGTTATCGTTATTTTTACCTTACAAAAATATCCATCCCTCAGGCAATTTCAAAGGAAAAACATTCTTTTAACCGTTGTGCTGGAACGTAAACGAAAATTTTGATGTCGATGTTGCGATCGATCACGCCGGCTATCATTCTAAAAAAAACTACTCTTCAAGTTCCCTTCGTGCTTTCTACTAAGCTAGTCTCACCTTCGGGCCTTTATGGCCGATCTTACAAAGTCGAGATTTTAATTTGCGCGTAGAACACGTGCTTAAAAGTCCTCAACCACGAAGCTAATATCTCAAAAGCTGATTCGGTGACCCTACTTTTTTAATGCTAAAAATCATTAAAAAACAATTGTGGAGTGGAATTACTCCAACGTGGAAATTTCCAGCGAAAATCCACTGCACAGAATTTTTTATAATTTTTCCTGTCTCTTCTATGGGTAACAAAAAGATTTTTAGAAAAAAAACCCAGGGTCACCGACTTATTTTTTAAGTTGGACGCAATTGATGGTAAAAAGTGAGTTAAGTTTGTTGCTATGCAAAAGAACAGTGCAACCTTAATTTGTGATTTAAGCATAAAGGTATAGTGGAGAGTTACCTTAAAAGGATTGCACAGCCATTCAAAAGAGTACAGTTCCAAGCTTAAAAAATCGCACCTAGTTCTATAAGTCCAAAAAAAAACCCAGAAAACTGTTTTGAGTCACCTTAATTTCCGTTATTTCTTGACTTTTTAAGAAAATGGTGAAATCCAAGATAACGCATCTAAGATGGCGGGTCAAATGACGTCGTAATTAACAAAAATGGTGTCACCTTGCAGAGCAAGCTTAGGCCTATCTAATTTATGTAAATATATTTATTTGTGCCTTCACAGAATGAAAACCTATAGGAGGAATGCATCAACCTCCCCGAACCCTCCCCCTACCCCCTTGTACAGTTGTACTACGGTGGGGTTATGAATTGGGTTAATTCGCTCTTAATGACGGTTTTAATAAACGCTTCCAAGAGACTGAAGCACTCTGTACGACATTGCAAGCTGCTGAACTATTTGAACTGGAACTTGGGAAGTCATCTGAGATCATTATGCTCAGACAGTCCACTACAGAGCCGTATGTACGAGGCCAAAGACCAAGCACAAGGCGACCCGAAGACAACAGTAACAGAAGTTTTAAAAACAGAACAAGTGAAAAGACGTATATTCAAAACGAAATCACATCACTTCGTGAAGGAAGAAAAGCCACAGTTATGCTAGCAGTGCTAAATATAGATTAAGGCTAAAAATTATGGTCGATTTGCTAGA